TTAATTTTGCTAGGTTGGCACGTCTGCAAGATCATAGCCTGTCTTCCACACAATATAAATAATTCATTTACTATTCATGTAAAATTGAAAAAAAACCTAGCTTTCAAATCATATTTCATGTATGAACTTGTGAATCCAAAATGGGTGTATGATGCAGCTTACAATCTCCATCAAATACCATTGTACCAATCCAAAAATGTTAATATTGATCTCGATCGGCTGTTCAATATCTATTCAGTCATCGAAAAAATTTACACAGAATGTGTCTGAGCTACATTTAAATATGTCTGCGAAATTGTGTAACCAGCAGTTCAGGAAAAACAGTTAAAGATGTCCAAAATGAAAACACAATAAAGTTTCTTTTCCAAAAAAAATTAACCATTTTGCCAATGGGCAACCTGTGATCACTGCAAATTTTCTTCATTTTTTAAAAAAAAATTTTTAGTTATGTTATAAAACTTAATTCATTTAACAATATTTAGTAGGAATCTATAAATATATATTATGCGTGATGTGCAAATAACACATTTTTAAAACTGTGCATGATCTATTTATTGCATTTATTATTTCTTATTCAAATTGACAAATTTTATTCATTTTCATAAAACAATACCACAAGTGCTTACAAGAGAACCCAAGGGATCAGCACTAATCAAATTCATTGGTTTTCTGTCGGTCATGAAATATAACCATATTATTTTCCAGATAGAAAACATTTTATTTTGCCAACCTTCAAAAAAAAAAGATGTAAGCTAAATATATTATTGATTTTTGAATTCCAATTGACGTCATCATCTTTTATTAGCCCCATTACCAGAATATTACAATTAAACAGCTGTCAAATTATAAAAGAATTTGAATTTTGTCAATGCAACATTTGTAGTCTTTGACTCAGTTCTAAAAATTTTATTTATTTATTGTAAAAAGTGTTTGCAGTGATAAAAAAAATGGTATAAAAATAATGATATAAAAAGAATTGGACAAATAACGGTATCTCCATTAAACTCAAGGTAAAAAAATAAATAAATAAATAATGTTCATAAAATAAGCAGCAATGCAAAAATCTTTGCCTGGGGCAAGTATTAAAAGAAACAAATTTATACACAAAAAAGTACTTTTTAAGATTCCACATATATTTTAAATCTTCTGAAAATATTTAAATCAACATTGCTTTCTGAAAATTTTAAACAGAATAAAAAATAACAAATAAATAAAAAATACCTAAGTTACATATAATTAATTATTATGAACAAGTTGCAAGCTTCAAATCTTACTTTTTGAATTAAAGGGTGGCCCAAAATTTATATAAGATTCAACTTAAATAGAACATTCATTGATTTAATATTGACAACAAAAAAATTTGACAGCTGGCAATCTAAGGTAAGTCAAAATGCAACACTACGAGAGAAAAAATGTGCTTTCATATTTCATTGATATTTCAAAAATCCAATTATTATATGATATATCTTCTACTCATGCACTCTCTTGTTTTGGCGATCAGAATTGACCCCTAAATTAAATGATTTAACACCATTATATTTCTTTCCATAGGTCTTTGTCAATAAGCCCACATCTACCTGTGCATTGATGAAGGAAATTCAACACTGCATCAAATAAATACAGCTCTATTTCTGCAAAATGGTCATGAGAAATTTCAACAAAAGAGTGCAGATGTGACAGCAAAAGCTAAGAAGACATTTGCTCAATACGCTATTTCATACATAAAACTACCCTATGTATGCATCTCATGCTTCAATCAAAAGAAAATATAATTGAGAAAAAAAATATTGTTTTTTTTTAAATTCAAATCTTGTGTAAATTTCAGGACATCCTTTGCATAGTTTTAAAAAAAAATCAACTAAATAATGTTATGTTGTTAGACTTACATTTTGTGTCAGATTCCTTTTCAGATTCAGAGCTTTTTTCAATCATTTGTTCTGTTTCTATTTCAGGATCTTTTTCTAATTCATCACCCAGGAACTCATCCAATGCAGAAGCATCTTCATCTAATTCAATATCCTCTAATGATACAGAGTTAGCGCTACTTTGACTAGAAACCCCTAAAAGAATTACAAATAAAATTTCAACAAACTTCAATATAATACAAAAGTCTACTGCAAATTTATAAAGCTACTGATTCAATTGTTTTTATAAATTCCAAAATATCTATATCATTAAAAATTGTCCATGTAATGGAATTTTAAAACAGTTAAAATAAGATTAGAATGAATAAGATTTTAAACTAGAATAGAAAAATGAAATGATAAATACTTTTTTAATTTAATAAATTTTCCTAAAACTATGGTATTGCTCAGCTCTTTAAACCATACACAACAAAAGTAACAAGACTTAACAGACAACAAGCAAAACTTATATCTATCATTAATGTTTAACTTCATTCATTCTAAAATAAACTGTCAAAAATTAATTGTGACAACTGGGTGCATAGCCAAATTTTTCAATAAAAAAATAAACACTTTTTAAGCACTCAAAAAAAATATTTTCAATCACTTTCCAACGAAAATGGTCATAACTAAGATGTGTGCAGTAATAAAAATTATTTCTTTCTATTGTTCAAAGTTCTAAATTTATAAACATAAAATCAACAAAATGCTAAAGCATTTTCAAAGACCTTACATAATCATGATAAAACAACTAGTTTCTGATGATAAATATTGCAGAGAAAATTGTGATAATCATGCTTTTTTTGTAATTTAGGATAACAGAGTAAAGAAAAAACTCATTTTGAAAAATAGAAAATTAAGCACCTTTTACAAACCCCCAATAAAAATAAAATTTTTACGGGTTTTTGAAAAAAGTAAATCAAAATTAAGCACCTTTTAACACTTTTTAAAAATGCTTTGCACCCTGGACAGTGAAACAGTAATTTTTATTAAATCAAAAAATTTTAAATTTGCATAAAAAGAGCAATCTACATGCAAAAAATATGTACATAACACTTGAAAAACTGTTTATTAAATTACAGTAAAAGATCTTTGGATAACAAACCTTAAAATGCCGGAATATTGCCCGTTATAGAAATAAGTGTTATATATATCTTTTCACACATCATTTAACTTATTTACTAAAACATGGCAATATTAGTCTGGAATAGACTCTTAAAATATTTTAAATTAATTTCGAAAAACAAATATATTAACACCAAAATATACACTTAAATATTCATTATTTGCAAGAAAATTTACTTTCTCTGGAGCATTAGAGCTAATAACAAACAAATTTATCAATATTGGTTTGCTAGATTCTTGAAATTCTAACCTCTTCGTAAATAATTAAATAAATAATGTAAAAAGTCCTAACAGTTTAAATAATTAATTTATAGCTACACAAATTTCTTAATTGAGTTAAGAAATTTCTGAGTTAAAGTGGTTTATGAAGAATTGTCTTTATAGAATTGTGTTATACATATCTTCTGCTGTAAAGGTTTTTAAATTAATTAAACCTGTAGGAAACAGATATTAAACAATTTGCATTCATATTTACTAAAAACATTTTTCACAAAACAATTATTTCATTGTAATTGAACATTATGTGTGAGAAGAAGTTAGGCTTAATACAGACATTAGAAAAGTACAAGGAATTTTTAAATATGAGTAGAGGAATTGGTAGTGGAAATGTCAGACTCCAACTCTCACAAAAATTGGATTAATAATTCCACCTAATCTCAGGAAAAATTAATATTAAGTAATATTTTTACTCCTTATGTACAATTTAGGCAAAAGGCACTTCTTAAAATTACATTTTGTATTATAACATAACATTTGAAAAAATACAATTTTAAAAATTTTTTTTACAAAATAGTAAAATTGTGCAAAACCATTATAAGAAAATAAATACCTCACAAGCACACTTGCTCACACATAAATGTTTTACAAAAAAAAATTGTTGGTGAACATTTGTAAAATAGGAAAACTGTTATAAATGATACATTAAATTCATTGTATATTCTTGAATTAACTTAGTAACTTAGCTAAATAAATTTTGTTTTTGAATTATAAATTATAAATTAATTATTTTTCATTTCTTCAATAATTCATTTCTTATTATTTTTCAATAGTTTCGATGATTTTATGTGTTCTTTTGCAATAATAAATCTGCTTAAAATAGGCTCAAAAACATTCAAAGAAAATTAATTAAGTTTGTGATAAGTAATAATATAAATAGTTGTCATAATATTCATAAATAGTAGTTTAATGCATTAAATAGTATTAATGGAAATTCACGAATAATATTTTCTTATTTTTTTTCTTTTTGTTAAGGTACATAATAGTTAAAAGAAGAACCAATGTTAACAAAATGTTATTCCATATGTTTACATACAAGTCACATATGAGTTTGATTTATTTAGTGAAATAACAAGCAAAATCCTTAAATTTAGTTGTTAATCTTTAAACAGTTGAAAATATTTTACAGGTTTATACATGCTACAAAATCTACAGTCTATTTCTTTTTTTTTTTGGATAAGTATAAAATAAAATATTCATTCATTTGTAACTTGGATGAAAATATGAATGGAGAGCACTAATTAAATGAAAAAAATATATACTAACTTTTTCTTAATTCCCTAATACCATGTGTTTTGTATTGTTGAATTTCTTCCTCAAAAGCTTCTTGGAATGTGTTTTGCCTTTCCCTTAAAACAGCACTCTGTTTCTTTTCATGTTGAAACACTTTATGAGCATGTTCCTCGCCTAACTTAGCTAAAAGCAAAGAAGAAGAAACAATTGAGGTTAACTTGATCGAAAATTTGGAGCATTTAAACAAGAATTTGTTTTACAAAATAATAGTGTATTGAACAATTAAAATAACTATACAGTTTTTTTAATCAGAAATAAATATTTTATTTACATTAAAAGCTTTCAGTAGTGACTATGATAAAGTTAAAATACACTAAGCCCTGTTTCTCCTATCATAAAAAATGATACAATATCATAAATCAGTAATAATCATTGGTATTGTTTTAATTTTTTGTTTAATTGGGTTTTTTTCCTAGCAGCCATATTTCAGACAAGTCACAACAGTAATTAGGTAATATTAGCTTCTTTCTTTTTTCAAACCACTTAATACATTCGGTCAATATGTTTTTGATATCTCCAAGAGTTACACAACTTCAATCACGAGTTAAACTCAGTGATATTGCTTTCAGTTAGGTCAGGGGCTTATCTCATAATTACCAAGCAGTACTACTGAAATGCTGTTGGAATCATCAATTTAGTACACACAGTACAGATTCATCCTCGTCAAGCTATCCATGATAATAGTAAATTAACCAATTTAGGAAGGTTTATCAGAAGTAATTTCTATGCTAAGATTTTAGAGGTCATTGAAATAAAACTTTATACATTATCATTAGTTTCATCATCCACTTTTTCCCATTCATGTTTGTTTAATCAAAGAATTCAACAGCCTTTTTATCAAAGTTTCCAAGACTACTGAAGGTCTCAGCTAAATTGAATAGAAAACATGCAATATATGTATATGCTAGGGTTAAAGTAATAAATTTGGTTATTATTAATACTGACGGGAGAATATTAATAATAACCACTTCTTTTGGTCAAAGTGAGAAATATCGGAAAATATTATTTAACCAGTTATTATTCATAAGAACCATTGAATTTTCGTCAATGTGATTAAACGGTTTACATAGCATTGGGAAAAAAGGGCACCGCATTACATATGCGATACGGTTAAAGTGATAATTCTGGTTAATACTACAAACCGATCAAAATTAATAATAACTGGTTCTTTTTGGTCATAGTGAGAAATAAAAAGGGGAAATTTCCATATCGTGATCTGTGGTAGAATAATCACCAAGTCTTAGCAACTTCAGTGGCCTGTGGAACCTAAACTATAAAAAAAAAACTCACAGAAAGGGACCAACTTGAAGGGTATAACTTGTAGCCACCCCCGGGCAAACATCTACATGTTTTTTTTTCTAATTTTCCATTTTAAAATCAATTTGGCGCCTCGGCGATTGTAGTTGGCGTGGCAGATCACGATACAGAAATATTCCCAATAAAAACGCTAAAGAATTATATTGACCAAACTTCACTGGCTATTATTAATAATAAACCCGTCAATGTGATAAATTATTCACTTTAACCGGCTCATTTGGTTATTATTAATATTGATCGGTTAGTATTAATAACGACTGTCTATTCATATTGACGGTAACATAAAAATAATCCCTTCCATTTTTAATAACAGACGTTAATAAATACTTTTTGATGTAACCTATTTAATGCATTCAGTTGCCTCATGATCAATGAGTTGTAATAATGATTAAACGTGTGCTGAAACATTTTTAATGCACATGAAAAAGAATATTGGATAATCAATAGCTGTGCAATCAAGGATCAAATAATGGGGGTTTCCATTACAAATTCTGAACACTGTTTTTGAACATTGCGCGTGCAAATTGTCAACAATCATTCTAGCTTCATTTTAGTTAACTAGAAGTTAAGTATGAGTTAAAAAGACTTGCAGATTTTGCACTTGCACTTCGTCAAATATTAAGAACATTTTAAATATTAAGATATTTGCAAAGGCTTGCATTGTGTCATATATTAAGAACACAACGAATTCCAAATAAGTATCTCATAAGTACCCCATAAATATCTTGAGTTTTGGAACCAGCGCTTAACTAACAAAGTTAACAAACGAAAAGTTACTTATGAAATCATCCTATTCTTTATTCCTAGATTTGGCAAAAGAATTTATCTTTGGCTAGTATTTCTTTACAACAAAGACCAGTTAGTTCTATGTTAAATGATAAGAATTTAACTCAAAATTATGACTATAGAATCACAAAACAATATTATCAAAAAAGGTACAGAACAAAATACTAATTGATAATAAGGAATAGTGTTTTCACTTGTATATGTACTAGAAATTTAAATATCACTATGAATACCTTTCATATCTTCAAAGTCTGACAATTTCTTTTCTTTGTACATTGCCAGCTGAAATCTATGATCAAGTTGTCTTTCTTGAAGTTCCGAAATTTCAATAACATCTTCTAAATTTACAAGAGCATCTTCAACTTCCTCAAAAACTCCTTCAAGTTCACCTAAGCAATTCAATTGTAAATATCAGAAATATAAAAAATTTAAAATAATATAAAACGAAATATAAAAACGAAATTTATTTGTTTCCCTTTTGCAAATCACTAATAAATTTGAATGCCTTGAAAATTTCTTTTCGGTAATTCGTAGCTGGCCTTGTAACACAAATTATGAATTGTATTTTATCCACATTTTATGCATCAAAAGACAACATTTTAATGTTTGAGTAAAAATTTATAAGTACTTTAACAAGAAAGTAACTAATCCAATCATTTTTTTTTTCAATTTTTCTTTTCTTATTATTTGTGTATTTAGTTACAAAGAGTTTTCAGCAATTATTTTATGTTCTATATATTATTTTTTGTTCTTCTATATTTTTCCAGAATTAAAATTATAGATTTCAAATTTTTTTCATACAATTTTCTACCCAGCAAGAAAGTTGCTAATTTCTAATTACTCTAGAGCAGAGATTCCAAAGCCTATGCCTCATACATCATGATGTCTGTCAATGGCGAATGTGCAATCCCTATATCGAATATTTCATTTTTAAATAAAATACTATGTAAAATTATAAATTTTAACAATAAATTACCCTTGAAAAAATAAATGCTGCCTGCTGTCTGCCCAGTATATGCTTTAAGATACAAAAAATTTTGGGGGTCTGTCCTAGAGGAAAGATTTTTTAAATTCCCTAGACAGATCTACGAACCTCAAAATCACTCACTAATTGCTTACAAAATATACATATATGTGTGTGTGTATAAATAAATAATTAATTACAAATAAAACTTGTTAAGTTCTGAATTTGAACAAATGCATAGTTTTGCAACAATAATAATAATAAAAGAAATTAAAATAAAATTAGTGGAATTAAGAACTTAGCGAAGAACTTTAAGAACTGATATACTTTAAATCAAACACTTAATTCTTTACAAATAACAAGGCCCTTTTTAGAAGAAATTTGCATCTGTTAAAAGACCCTTCACAAATTATCTTATCATAAAAATGGATCCTGGCAAACTATTTTGCCATGGAAATTTACCCTATACAACTTATTTTAGCACAAAAATTGACCATTCACAAAATATTTTATTTTAATGGAAACATGCCAGCGTTTTTTTTTTTAATTTCAAAATTGGACTCACCACAAAAAATTTAAAAAAAAAAAAAAGGAATTGATGATCTTTAAAAAGTAAGTAAAAACTAAAACTCTTTGAACTAAGTTTTAATTTTTCTCTCTCAAAAACAAGACCTTATTTTAACATCTTCACGAAAACTGAATCTAGGTAGAAAGAAAGTGATTCCATGGTAATTTTAGATTTAGAAAATTATCAGTAAAATTTTCACAAATTCGCAAAAGTAGGATCTTTTACAAAAAGTCTGCAGATAGTCTTCGAATTTTTTTTTTCCAGAACCACAAAACAGCACTCTATTTTCATAAAACTAGTGATTATGTTTAAATGCTATAGCACATCGAATATGCCAAAAATTGTAGAGGGTATGTGAAAAATAAGTTACCATGCATTCCCTGGAATGCATAATTCTCCAACATGGAACAAAAATTGAGAAAGCAGGATTACAATGAAATTTGCTTATTTATACACATAAAAAAATTCTTCTTTATTAGCAGCTAAAGGAAATTAGAATAATTTTGAGTGTACATCATCGCTTTTCCTTGATGCAGGTGCCCTGAGGCAGAATTTTTTCGGGATTTCTCCGACAAACTTCCCTAGCATTAATATTTTAAGATACTTTTAATTATAACAATTACTAATTTAAAGTAACGTTTTGTCTACAGAAGAATGTATAGAATAAAACATATAAAAAATTCTAATTGTAAGAGTAATATTATTTTAATTCTAATATTAAAGGCGATTTCTTGCATTTTGTATTCGGAAAAATGAACTAATTATTTTCTCTTTCGAATTTTGTAAATCAGAACAAAAATTAAAATGTTTTTGTTTTATATTATTAATTTGAAATTCTAGCTGAAACCAGTCATTACCAATTTTTTTTTTTTTAAAAAATCCCAAATGAGTATAGAAAAATCATGATTATTTCTTTCCTCCTCTCTGATGTGCAAGAAATAAATCTTTGCAGACAAAAAAACATTTTTCAAAAAATTATGCAGAAAGGAAAACCAAAATTTTTCCTGTCCCAAATGAAAAATCTTTCTGCAAAAACTCGGCAACGTTCTGCGACAATGTCACCGTGTCGCCTCAATTCTGCCACAGGGTGCAAGTTTTTAATCAGTCCTAATTAAAAGCCTTGATTGTTCAAATATCCCCCTTTTTTCTTGCTTTAAAATTCATTGTATTGTTCTCCAATGTATAGAATTATTATTAATGTGCAGATTAATAGATGGATGAAGAGGTAAAGAATTCATGTTTTGATCTCAGTAAAATGGGACACAGAAATTAAGAAGTTCTGGTTTCCAAAATCAAGTGGAATCACTGAAAACTAGTAGCAGATTTATGACAAAAACAGGATTTTCACAAGCCAGGAATGATTTCTGACTATGAAACTTCCTTATCAAAATCTGATTCTAATTTTTAAGAAAAAGGGACTTTCATAAAACAAAAATTTATTATGTTTCTGTAAGTGCTTAGTTATTTAAGAAGATAAAACAAATATTTTTTGACTAACTCATAAGTTTTTACTTTTTAACATCAAATACACATATAACTAGTCCTTTTGAAAATAATTTTACATGCTGATAATAAAGTATACCTATATCATCAGAAAAATCACTAAAATATGAATCTTATTAAAAATGTAATAACAAATAAACAATGGAATCAAAAGTATTTTAAAATGTTCAACATAATTTACTAGAAGTTAAAAAATTTTATTTAAAGAGCCATAAGCTTTAATCTCATCTTAAAAAATGTCAAATGCCAGAAACTCGAATTAAAGTTTAGAAATAAGGTGAAAAATAAAATGATTCAAAGCCATTTTTCATATAAACATTGTAACAAACCTATTTTCCCCATCAGCTCTAAAATACCAGTTTGCAATTGTGGCAAGGCAACGAGTTGGTTATTTAGTTGTTTAATAGCAGTCAAACGTTCAGTACAGAAGGAATGAAGATTTCCAATTAACATATCTGCCTCCTATATTAAATATACCAAACACATGCATCATAAATATAAAATAATTTTTAGTAAACATGAAAATCAATTGAATTTTAACATGGAAAAGTTACTTTAAAAAAAACACCAAAAGTTAAAGCAACTTTGTGTGTAAGCTTAAAAATAAACAAAGCAAAGGATAAAATTACAAATAAATAAAGTTAAAGCACTGAGTAAAATTCCAAGCACACAAAGCAAAAGAAAGGATATTATATCAAAAATTATAGATATTGAAAGATAGAATACTAAACTAAAAAGTATAGATATTGAAAGAAAGAATATTAAATTAAAAAGTATAGATATTGAAAAATTTCTGAAAATAAATCTCTGAAGAAGTATTAAGAAAGCTAAAAATACAAATTGGAAAAAATAACCTTACAATGTATAGAAAACTGAAAAAAATTTTAAACTTTTATTTTATAGTATAAATACAAAAATTAAAAATCAAGGAGTATGCTATTTTATTTTTATGCACACATTGTGCTATATTTAGATTCTCGACCATCACTGAGTGGGTGACAAACTGACATATACATCACCATCTTGATGAAACAAGTTTTACTCACTTGGGATCTAATTCACCATGCTGATCCCATAATTTTTACCTTTTCGATGAATATAATTAAGGTTTCATTCTCGCTGCATTCCCTGTGATTTTCACACGAAATGTAAAAATTTTCACAACCTGTGATACATGGTTTTTTCCATCTATTTAACAGTGCAATCAGCTCCACCTGTTTAACTGTGTAATTTTTGGCTTTTCAGTGATATTTAATTCTTTATTTACATTTGAGTTAACAGATGGCGCTAATTGTCTATTTCTGCAAAATATTCAAGCATAGTTTACAACACTTTGCACAATCTTTTCAAATTCTACTGCTTGTTGCTAAAAAATAGAAACTGGCAAAAAAATTGATGCAAAGATCAGGAGGTAGGCCTTGTTTTAAAGTTTATCATACTTAACTTCATTTTAAGCAATGCTAAGTATTTTGAATATTTTCATTAGTATATACCTTATACAATTGTATTTTGCAAGTTTTATGTTATACAAGTTTTTTGTTTTTATACAAAACCCTTTGCCTAAATTTCAACTTTCCCACAACTTTTTTTTTCCAAATTTTTTATCTCTTATTATTGAAAAAAACTCTTAAAAAAAATTTTTTTTTTCATTTTAACACTAAAATATATCTAGATATAAAAGATGAAATAAAGAAACATGTAATTTTGTAAAGTATTTTGGAAGAAAAAAATTTGCAGCAATGAAGTGATAAAATCATTCTGATGGGGTCAAACTGAATAAAACACATCCCCTTCTTTACACATAACATAAACAGCCAAGAAATAATTGAGTTTACAGAATTTTTAAATTAGCAAATATGCACAGCAAAAAAAATTTCATTAATACAGTTCTGTTGCCATCAAGGTTAGAGATAAAGTTTTTATTTAAAGAAAAATATTTATTTAAAAGAGTTTCATAAAATTTTGAGGAAAAATATTGACTAATAAATGAATTTGTGAATAAAAAAATTACTTTAATTTCAGATTGTAAGAAAAATACAAGTAAAAGTATTAACTTTAATTAAAACTTTATTAAAAGTAACAAAGAATAAGTATATGCACACACATTTTTACTTTTGTCACTAGTAATGAAAGTAAGATTGTACTGAAAAATTCCCAATGCAAAACAGTAATACAAGTACAAGTAATTAAAAAAAAATCTGCTAATAAGCTATAGATTTCAAATTAACATCATTCATATAATTAAACAGTGATAACCCATTTGTGTTGTTTAATTAATACATAATTTGACAACATTCACATACATAAACAATGATAACACTTATTTATAGTTCAAGTTGAATATTTTGAAATTTCCTGTACAAAGTAATTAATGTAATTAAACAGTATTATGAAAGCGAGTTAAATGGAAAAAAAACATACATATAAGGAGAAAAGATCACTATAAATTTCAAGACTATATAGAATTATGTGAGGAGTTCAAAGTGAAAATACTGTATTGACATGCAGCCATGCACAAGGTAAAGAAATGGAACAGTATTAGAAATTGAATTTGATGCAATAAAGAAAAAAAGGAAACAAAGAAAATAAAAGGAGAAAAATTACTACATGCTTCAAAATAATATTAAATTATATGTAGAGTTTAATGGTAAAACGTATAATATAAGGAATCATAATAAAAACAAAAAATATCAAAAAACAAAACTAAATGTTTTTCGCGCTTTTCTAAAAATAAATGTAGGAGAGAAACATTTCCTACCTCTGCCTTAAAAGCACTGTCAGTGTCATTTTTATGGAGCTCTGACCACTGTTCTTGGTAACTGTTAAAATAAAAATTTAAATAAGCAGATGAAAACTACACATTATGGAATTATCAAATATTAAATAAAATTTATGAAGAAATATGTATGCATCAATAATTATTTTTAATCTTTGGAAGTAAATCTAAAAGTAATTGCATAAGCATTTTAAAATATTGCATGAACATTGAAAAAAATTTTCCAATTAATTGAAATCAATGATAATTTTATCCAAAGAAAAAGAAATATACATAAATTATTTTTAATTTATGTATTAATTCAATAATGATTTATTGTTTTTGATCATTTAATCTAATACTAATTGAAAACATTTGAATTTACACCGTATTGGCCGATTCAAAGTTACATCCTCGCAAACAATTTTGATTTTACTAAGTCATTTTCTTGGTTCAAAAATGCCACTTGTGTTGGCATCATGAAAACTGGATTAATGAAAAAAATTAAGCGTAAAAATTACTCCTACTGACATAATTATTGGTAAAAACAAATTTACCAATTATGAATGATAGTCTATGAATAATATGGTCAATAGAAAATATGATCTTAAAGTCATTATACTTTTTGTTTAAGTTTGCTTTTAATTTTATATCATTAAATTAGTTTACTTAGTATTACTTAATAAAATGAGAGGTTTGTTTAAGATGCTTAGTTTTTTCTACAAGAACTTTTTTTTTTCCAATTTAACTTTTAACTCTAAAACTAAATCATTGATAGCATCGTCTTTAGTGCACTCTAACTATGAAATGAAGTTTTCAATCTCATGAAAAAGGAAAATTTGGAAAATAATAAAGGGATATAAGATGTCTCCTTACGAGAGCTTTTTTCTTTCTCCTTACTTGGTTAAATATTTCCCATAAATAATGATGAGTAAAGGCACTAGAAAAGTATAAAAATCATTCTTACTGATGAAGTAAGTCTCCTCCTGCATTTTGTGAAACACCTTTAAAATTCTGTTTTTTAGTTCTAGAATAAAATACAATGCATTAAAAATACAATGCATTAAATAGTAAATCATAGATAACACTTTTAAACTTTAAATGGTAAATCATAGGTAACACATGAAAGTTTTATGATAAAAAGTTATCAATAAAATAAAAAAATAAAACTAAGAATAAAAAAAGAAATAATTTTAGGTTGATAATATTTTAAGTCTTTGTATCATAAAAAATTCAATCTATTGATGCAAATTAAATCAAAACAAGTAAAGACTACAAAAAAATAATGATTATGATTACATGGTGTTATAAATTTAAAAAAGCTAAGCTCAAAAATTTTAACCAAAAATACAATGATAAAATACATTTTAATGCTACTTTACAATAAAGATACTACAATAAACAGCACCGAAAATTGAACATTAAATAAAGGTTTAAATCTGGCTCCTAATAAGATAAACATCAAAATTCTCAGATAAAATTAAACACTCATCAGTAACAATTTTTAAGAATTAAATAATGAAATTTCAAGTTGGCGAGAAAGGATTTAAAGGACAAAAAATTCTTTTAAGAAGTGCAATGCAAAAGGAAAGATTAATTTTTTTTCGAAAAATCTGAAAGATCAATTACTTAACTGCATAAATACATTGCTATAAATTTTGAAGAAAAAAAATCTGATGGGAGTTTAAGTATTAAATTATATTTTCCTAATTTTGATTGGGCAATGACAGTGTATTTAATGTTTTTAGTTTATTTAAGAAAATTAAATATGGATGAATAAAAGCATATTATGCATCAATAAATTAACTGGTTAAAAAATTATAACAATATAATTAGTTTCTATCCATTACTATTATTAATTCAAATATTACTAGAATATTGAAGTTAGAAAAAGACATAGAATTTCGTAAAGCTGTATCAAACCAAAACAGCAGTATTAATAACATAAATAATTATAATAAATAATATAAATTATTTTATAACTAACAACTTCCTCGTATATTAATACATACTTAGAGAGCTGGACATCTCCTGTAGCTAAGTTCCTGAAACTAGAAAAAATAAAATGGATGATATAAATTCAAAGAATGCAAACAAATTAAATTTATTATAGCTTAAGTTTCTGAAACTAGAAAAAATAAAAAGGATGATATAAATTCAAAGAATGCAAACAAATTAAATTTATTATAGCTTAAAAACAACATTTTTAAACTACTTTATACAATTTGTCACCAACCTGTGTAGCAAAAAAAAAACATACCTTATTACTCAAAAACAATTGAGCTTTTAAAAAGTGGTTTTGACAAATCTCTTTAATTAATTAATGGTTAATCAAAAACTATGAATCACAAGTAGAAAATTGAAATTACCTATTAAATTTCATTTGATTAAATTAACTTCATAAAAATCTAATTGTCAAAACTCATTATAATAAAGTTAGAATATATAGTATTAATTAGGTCTGAAGCATTATTAAAGAGCTGTATAAACCGGTTAATTATAATTTTAAGATGTGAAACATAATTTAGAATATTATGAACAAGACGCTCAATAAATTATGAATTTTATTGATAAAATTTTAAGAAATTAAGTTTTTTTTTTAAATTATTTTTTTTATTCATTGTTCATTTCATTATTTACCAGTTATTCCCATTCAAAAACTAGTATAACTAATTTGATTTTCTAATAATAATAAGATTAATAGTAGTTAAATGAGAATAATTTGCCAATTATTTTTAAAAATGACTTTAAAATTACAATTGCATTATCGTTAGACATGTGTTAAGTCTTACAATGTTGGATAAAAATAAATACCATATTTTAATTTCGTTAACATTATTCAATATTTTTAAATTTAAAAATATGAATAAATAAACCCTATGAAAACTTAAGCTTTTTAAGGGTTTATATATATATATATANTAGTAAGCAACCATATTTGCTTAAACAATGGATTAAATGTTAACATAGTTTTTTAAAGTGGTAGAATTTAATTAGTTTCAAAACGGTGTAACAATCTTTAAAAAAAATTAATTAAAATTAAAAAAAGATTGTGAAAAATATTTGTATTTGAATTGTAATTGAAAGAAGAAAATTAAATACGTAATAAAAAAATAAAATCTTGAACTCAAGGTTTTACTTTAACATAAAAAGTTTTAAAAATTAGCAAATCAATTTTAAAAAAATTAACAAACTTTATTTGATCTATAGAGAAAATATAAATTTATTTTTAATGTAGTTACTTTATATGAATTACTTTCATATGACTACATAGTAAAATTTTATAAATTTAAATACTCTGGTTATTATTAGTTCTCTAAATAATCAAATCAAAATAATAAACAATTCAAGATATAATTAGAAAAAGTGCATGTTAAATAAAATGATAAAACTATTTTGAAAATAAATAAAGTCGTTTTAGAGTTAAAAAAAATATTTTTTAAGTTTTTCTTAGAAAGAGAAAAAGCATAATATAAGATGAAGAGTGAGTTTCTTCTGATATCTTTTGAAAGCCAGTTGGCCCCCGCAGATTGCAATCCCCCTTCTGTGACAGTGATTAGTTTCGGGTTACTTAACACACGCACCCCCACAAAAAATGTAGGGGAGACAGTGGAACGAGTTTTGGAGGTGCAATATATTTCGTCCCTTTTCAAACCTATCCTTACTGAAGGTTAGAATTGAAATGGAAAGGCCTCCTTAGGTATTCTTTGGCCAAGGATGAAGCAATAAGAGAGATCATTGCGGTTGCAGAGCAGAATCCTCTGCCCATGGCAACATATCGAATTCTTTCACCATTGGCAAGTAAAGTACATTAGTTTCCATCATAGTACGTAGTAGTACATTACTTATGTACTCAAAGGAGTACATTGGTTTCGATCTTGATTTTCAAACAGATAAAAACTTTTTAAGTTAGACTACTACAAGGAATTCGATACTCGAAACTGCCTTAAACATACTAAAGTAAAGCGTCTCGGAAATTTTCGAAAATATTTTGGCAATTAATTGCGCAAAATATTATGGAAGGGATACTTTGTGATACATTTGCATACAACTGAACAGCGGAGAAGTGGGAAAAGATGAGGGTCAAACATGGAACCAGTCTTCTCTTCAGGTGGCGTATTCGAATGTGGCGAAAACACATGTAAAATGACAGGCAACAAAACATAAAAGTGCACTTAAAATAACAGGCTTATAATCTTAGTTTTTATTACTATTTATTGATTAATGATGATAGAAACATAAGGTTCTATAAAAAAAATCAAATCCAAAATATGATTACTAAATAAACAAACAGTGTTTCGCAGGTGATTGATTTATCTTTTCCATTCATTTATACCTTAAGGTTCCATTCATTTATAAAGCGGTTTCGTTTCTTTAAGTTTATTTTTAAGTTCATTTTTCAAATTCAAATTTTATGACATTAATTGTTTTAATATAAAATTTTCAATTCATTGCTGGGAAAAAATATACTTTAAAATGTTCGTCCATTCGCACTATATTTTATTATATCTTGCACTAAAAATTTTTATTTGCAATTAAATTCATAATGATAATTAAAAGATTCAATTATTAAACTTTTAACAGTATAAATTGAATAATTTCTGCTGAGAGATAATTAATTCAGCTTGATTTTGAACTATATATATAGATAATTATAATTAAGCTTAATTAGAAATAGAACACAGATTTTTCTTATTTGTTGTATGATTTTTCTTTATTTTACTCCAGTTTTATTGTTGGTTAGGAATAATAAACTATGTAAATAATTAAAAAAGTTTAGATGGACAACTGTTTACAGATGATGGTGATGCCGTCAAAAACTTAGTAAAATTGGCCGTAAAACTTCTGTGTTACTACTTTCAATTTATTTTTACGCCTAAGGTTGAAAACGAGTGGCATTCAATGTTATTATACTTATAGTGTCTACAATATAACACGTTCTTTCAATTTAACTTTCAGCGAAGCAAGAACCAAATGAATTCAGAAAATTGCCAAGCAATGCTATGATGCTACCCCAAAAAAATAATAACAACAACATCAAAAAAAAAAAAAAACCATAACAGATATTTTACACAAATATAGCCAAATAAAGGGGTGAATCTCCTTGAGGAAAATACTGGTCAAGTTTAAACCAAGCAATGACACACACATTATTCCGATTTAGCCTATTATTCTTAATAATAAACGAGCCTGATTTATCATTAGGATCATTTCTGGGGGCCCCTAAATGTTACAAATAATTTCTTTTTTTGCTTTTTTTTTCATATAATTTATTTATTTTTGCAATTTTGTTTATTTATTTATTGAAGAATTGTTTATTGGAATTATGAGCAAACAAATATTGAGAGAGATGTAAGCTCAAATTTACTAAAATATCGTAATTTACCAATATAATAAAAAATTTAAAAACACTTCTTTTTCAAACTACAGGCAAATTTTGCTTAAAGTAATAACTAAATGAGTAAACAAGGACTATTAATAATAGCCAAGTAATTAAGAAACTGTAATTCATGTACTAATGTCTTCTATTTTAGAAAAAGAAAAGACAAAATTAAGAAAAAAGAACTTTTCTTAGATGCTAAAAAAATAAATGAATATTTTAATAATAAAAAAAACGTACAGAATGAGGCAAAATCTGACAATTGAAAAATTTTAAAATTCATTCTGTTAATAGAAAATAATTTATTTATCTTTGAATCCCAAATTCTGAAAATAGAATGTGTGTAAATGTAAAGTAAACTTCTGTATGCTCTGTATATGTACTCATATTTAGAACTTCTTGCAAGTGTAAGTTTGATTGAATAATACGTTTACTTAGAAAAGAATAAAATGCCATAAAGAGAAATAAGACATGTTACTAAGTAGCAGAAGTATTCACCAACTGAAATTGACACACGTGGTTAAAGAAAATGCGGGAAGGAAGGATTGTAAATAATAATGAATACTGAAAAAATTATGAGAAGCTAGTAGAAGCGAAAGCTATGAAGATCAGTGAAATCGTACTGACATCGGCGAAATTAGTGATTGAGTTAGCCCTTAAGTTAGTCCTAGTGAGTTGCCCTCCCCCGGGTTTAATTCAACTGATACGGGATCCAGACAATTATATAAACTAGATGTTTAGTTTTTCGATTTAATGCTTCATGTTTCAACCCTATGTTTTCGGAGAGAGGGGTTGATAGGAAGTGTACTGTAGTATTCAGAATTCTAGCACTGCCTGTCTTTCTAACCTTGATTCGTGGCAGTAACAATAAAACAGAAATAGCTAACATTCATATCTAATATTAAACAAAGTTGATTCATAATTTCACTCAGTCGAGTAAATATTCGGTAATCCGGTAAAAAATTATGTTGTTTAGATAATCAGAGCAATTCAATTATTTTAAAGTAACTCTTTTTAGTTGCAGTCTCGTTAATAGAGATTTGTGAAATTAAACCTAACATAGCTATTTCAATCGATATGTGAGGAAGGAATATGATAAGTTTTTCACTTCAATCGTTCAAATTCCAGTGTTAGGAGCCACAGTTCTTCAGATTTCATTAGACTAGAAAATTGTGGATTTTAACAGCCGAAGAATGGCGCGCATTTTTAATCATTAGTCAATCACAATTGTCAGGAAAAGTTTTTAATTTAAAAAAAAAAGGTTTGAATTTAAAAAGATTTTATGCTTTTGAGAAAATTTATGCTGTTGAAGTAACCACACTAGAGAAATTGTAAACACTGCATACAAGAATTTTTTTTGTTGCTTTTTTTACATTTTTTAACAGTACAATCTGTATCAGAAAAGTAACGTGTGAAAATAGTATTAATAAACGGGTGATAAAATTATGACACGTTTAGCTTTGAACTGTTTGATTAGTTTTAAAAAATTGCGTTTTTACTCTTTGCAGAACGGAGCATAAATATTACGCTTTCTGGTCCATTTTGGCCCAACCTCTTGCTGTAGCTTCTCACATAGCTGTAAACTTCATGCGTGATCGATAAAGAAGTTGTTATACTTAAAATATAGCTTTATTTTTATTGCTAAGTGAGTTTATAACAATATTACAGCAGTAAATTTAATTTATGACTTGAATTAATTTTAAATTTAATTTATAACTTTAATTAGTGAAAATTTTGATACAAATAAGCTTTT